GTCAGAAACAGACGTAGAAAAACTGCTGCTTTTGCTGCACCTGTATTCGACAGCTTGCGCAAGATGGCCATAGCGCGCACATTTTCGATTTCGCGCACGCTGGCAATTTGTTCACGCGCAAATGTTGTTGGCGAACGCTAGCACCGCAAGGAAACTATAAAGTACGGCCAGTCTGCTGAATTTTGGCACAATTATGCTAGCCATTTAGTAAGAACCTGATAAAGTTAAAAATTTTTGCAGTGCAAGATCCGATTTTCGTGAAGCTGTCCATCGAACAATAAGCGAAGGCATGAGTTTACCACGGTTGCCGATTTTGGCTGGAGCTGGTCAGGTCCCCATAGCACCGTCACCTCAACCACCAGCCAACTCCGTCAGCGTTCCTCCACCATCGGTAATGAGAGCATCGTCACTAAGATGTGAGTTTTCATCCTTTTTTTAATTTAAAGTTTTTATAATTATAATATCCGGGTTAGCAACTTCGTTATTTCTAGCTGATGATGCCACAGCTTCCCAGCCAAGAAAACTGGAAGTGGTATCTAAACAAGCTACTAAAGTCACCGCTTTATCTACTAAACTAGAATGGAAAATCGACCAGGTTTGTTTTCAAGAATTTCAATTTTTCAAGAATTTTGAATTAAATCAATGCATAATCATGTATTCGATTTATTTTTCGAAATCTGGCGCATAACATTGATTAATTGCAAACACCTTAATTTCTTCCATCGTTGTTATATTCCATGACCATCTGATCACTTTTCCATTCTTTAGTTCGAAAAACTGATGAAACTATTCAAAAACGGTCAGAATCTCATAAGCAGACAATTTGGCGTGCCGCAAGCGCCCACAGTATGCTGGGAACTTCACGTTTACCCGAATGGAAAGCGGGAAGAGGATATGAACAATGTGTCGTTCTTCCTTCGTCAAGTTGGCTTGCAGGTAAGCGTTCAATGGTTTTCCTCAACTAATTGCTACGCTACGTAAACTGTCTTCTTTTTAGCGCGGTGAAGAACCAATCATGACGGAATTTCAAATTTATGCATTGGATGTAAGCTCTCAACGGGTTAGTGTATGTAGGGATACCAAGGATTTCACAAATCAACAGGGCCGCGGAAAATTTCAGGTTTGTTTTCATTCTGAACCATTGTCATATTTTTAATGATATATTTTCTTAGGTTTCTCGAGACAAGATGACGGGCGCACTGCGAGCTGACGGATCGCTTTTGCTTATTTGCGAGGTGAGTATTTATTGCGCAGTTTATGGTACCCCTTACTCGAATAAGGGCGGAATTTGTGTGTTTGTGTGTCTTTCCTCAAAACACATATGTGTGTGGTTTTTGTTTTTTACAAGTTGCAAAAAATGCATGTTTACGCTCTTTAAATAGACTGTAGGGCCTACGCCAAACATTTTCCATCAGAAGTGGTTTTATTCCACAGTATGCATTAGGAGAATGAAAAGTATCCAAATTTTGCAATGTGAATGGGAAAGAAAGGAAAAGCGATTGTGAAAGACTTGGACTATTGAGTGGTACTCACGTGCGGTCTTAACGCGATTTGGCGGGAGAGTGTGTGCTTATTCAGTTAAATCTTTTTTTATATTAAATAAAATAAACTGGTAACATCCGGCGAAAGCAAGAAAATTCTCATTCTTCTCGGACTCTGACGTCCCCTTCCAGTGTTGCGGAGGGGAAGTTTCGATATAAAAAAATCGTAAGCCGCATTCAAAAAAGTTGAAGCGCGCATATGCAAATCTAGCACCTTCACATTGCTGGTTCACTAAATGTGTAGTGAAAATAGACTTTTTTGGCATGGACGCGCGCAGTGAGCAGGAAATTACGTCGCTTGTACGTGTCGAGATAATGTTCTTTTTAGGTGGAGTATTTCACGCCAGGGTCGAAAATTTCTGTGGAGCCAGCTGATGATGAAGAATGCGCGCTTGAAGATGTTGATGAGAAAGTTGAGCTCAGTATACGGGAAAGCAATAGGGAAATGTGGGAGTCGGAGCTGTTTACGGATTGTGTAATCAAGGTAGGAAACAGGCCACATTAGTTTTACATTTAAGATTTTCGCTTATTTTTTT